AAGACCCAGGTTTCTGAGAGAGATGTATATATATATATATAAATTTAAGAGTGTATTTGGAAAGATGGAGAAGCCCAGCCTGAGGGACAGAAGCATCCAGCAGCTTCTCCCAGAATCGTGGGTGGGCCTGAGCTCCTGGCAATGGAAGGCCAGCCCTCGCTCAGTAGGAGAGGGAGAGCTACCCAGTGGGTGGGGATGGAGCATGAAAGGAGGGTCCCTGAGGAGCACCAGCATCCTGCACCCCCAGAGGGAGGAAGGCCGGGTAAGGAATTCAGGCAGCACATGGGCAGGGACACCTGTTCACTTTCCAGCACGCATTGCCATCCAGTTGATTCCAACTCACAGCGACCCTACAGCACAGGGGCTTCCTGAGACTTTGCATCTCTCCTGGAGTAGTAGCCTCGTCTTTCTCCCCTGGTGGATTTGAGCCGCTGGCCTGTGGTTCCCAGCACAGGGCATACATATCCCACTACACCACCAGAGCTCACTTCCAGAGAGAAGGCGCATCCCTCGGAGAGGCCAGGGCATCAGAAGGGTTGAAGAAACAGCTTCTGCAGGGGCCTGGGCAGCCGGCCTGAAGGCTGTCTCATGGAAGCCAGGCCTCCGCATGGTGGAGCAGAACCACCACGGCCCCCACCAGCAGGTCAGTAGTGGCTCTGAACAGCAAACCCTGGGCTGGAACCAGGAGGTCCTGGATCCTAAGATGACAGAAAGCAGGCGTGTGTAGCCAGTGCTGTCTCAAGAAGGTGAAGTCAGGTGAAGGTGAGAGCTCCTGGCTCCCTGTCACCAGATGGTCACCAGACAACTCCCCTTACAAGGCAAAGTATAAACCATTCCTGGGGCAGAGGGACAAAGGACTCAGAGGTTGGCCACCCAGGTAGACTGAGTGCTACAAACAAAGGGGCTGAGTCACCTCCAAATGGGAAGATCGTGTTTGGAAGGCTTGCAAGCCAAGACGAGTTCAATTATAGAGAAATAAAGATGATTGACCTTTATGTCCACCAGCTGAATGACTGGCTAGCTAAGTCCAAGACAAATTGCTGTTAACATTTTATTATACATCGTCCCAGACCTTTCTGAGCACAGGTACAAAAATAAAGTCAATTTGCACAATGGGAATGT